CCCCAAAACCCCAAAACCCCCAAAACCCCAAAACCCCAAAACCCCAAATATTTATCACTAAATTGTATTAAACACGAGAAATAATCTATCTTAAATATGGACATTGACGCTTTCAATAGTTTTACAACAGGCAAGAGAAAGAAAGAGGACGAACAAGACTCTAAGCCTAAAAAGAAGCCTAAAGTTACAGAAGAGATATCTGATTCTGAGTCTGAAACTGAAGCTAAGCCTAAGGCTAGCTCTAAAAAGTCTGCCTCCGGTGTCATGGCTGAAGAGAAATCTGAAAAAGTAACAAAGAGTGATAAGACCAAGGGTGATAAAAGCAAAAAGAAGGCTGAAGAGGCCAAACATAGCCAAGAGAAGATGATTGATAAGGAAAAATCTGAAAAGAAGAAAGATAAGAGTGTTATTGAAGAGACTAAAGATAAGCCAATGGAAAGCGATGAAGATAGTGAAGAAGAAATTATCAATGATACAAAGGCATGCAGTGGCTATGACCCAGAGGAGCTTGATATTAAATCTAAGGTCTATGACAACTGCCTTCATGAGGCTATTTATCCAAAGGGATTTGTTAAAAGAGAAGTTGACCCAGATAAGCCAAGAGCTAAGGAATATAAATTCACTCTTGATAATTTCCAAGAGGAAGCAGTGAAAAGTATTGAGAGACAAGAGTCTGTGCTAGTTGCTGCTCATACTTCAGCAGGAAAGACAGCTATTGCTGAGTACGCGATTGCTTCAGCCTTGAAGAATAACCAAAGAGTTATTTATACCTCTCCTATCAAAGCACTCTCAAACCAAAAATTTAGAGATCTTCAAGAAGAGTTTGAAGATGTTGGCCTAATGACTGGAGATGTAACTCAGAATGAGAGCGCAAGTTGCATTGTCATGACTACAGAGATCTTAAGGAGCATGCTTTACAGAGGTTCAGAAGTTACAAGAGAAATGGCATGGGTCATTTTTGATGAAGTCCATTATATGAGAGATAGAGAAAGAGGAGTTGTCTGGGAAGAGACTATCATTCTTCTTCCCTCAACTGTAAAGTATGTCTTCTTATCAGCCACCATTCCAAATGCTAGAGAATTTGCTGAATGGATCTGTACTATCAAAAAGCAGCCTTGCAATGTAGTTTACACTGATTTCAGACCAGTTCCACTCGAGCATTATATTCATCCTTCAGGGACCAACAATCTGCATTTAGTTGTAGATAAAGAAGGACAGTTTAGAGAAGAAAACTTCCAAGAAGCCATCTCAAAGATGGACGCAGACAATGACCTTGAAAAAGCTTTTGAGGCTAGAGGTAAGAAGGCAAAAAGAACCACTGAGCAGCAAGAATTAAGATCTGTGGTAAATTACATTGTATCAAGAAATTATGAACCATGTCTCGTATTCGCATTTAGTAAAGCTGACTGTGAGAATCACTCAAGGATTGTATCCAAGTGCGAATACACCACTGAAGAAGAAAGAGAAAACATTGAGAAGATCTTTGGGGCTGCTATCGAATCGCTATCAGAAGAAGATCAAGATTTACCTCAAATAAAAGGCCTTCTCCCATTATTGACTAAAGGTATTGGAGTGCATCATGGAGGACTTCTTCCTCTAGCTAAAGAAATTGTTGAAATCTTGTTCCAAGAAGGTCTTATTAAGGTCTTGTTTACAACTGAAACCTTCTCTATGGGAATTAACATGCCTGCCAGAACAGTCGTATTTACCAGCATTGAAAAATTCGATGGAGAGAAATACAGATGGCTCGGAGGAGGAGAATACATTCAGATGTCTGGAAGAGCAGGAAGAAGAGGGCTTGATACTAAAGGAGTTTGCATACTCATGGCCAACAAAAAGATGGAGCATGACGTTGCAAAGAACATTCTCCAAGGAAAGGCAGACCCATTATATTCCTCTTTTCATCTCAAGTACAACATGCTACTTAACTTAATGAAATTGCAGGATTATAAGCCAGAGTTTTTGATCAAAAGATCCTTCAGACAACTTCAAAATGACAAAGGATTGCCTCAGCTCAAAGAAAGGATATCTATCCTTGAGGAAGAAATAAAGAGCATTAAACTTGAGAGACACGAGCAAGTGCAGGAATTCTTCAAACTCGAAAAGCAGATAGAGAGTTACAAAGAAATCAGTAAAGAGATCTATCACAAGGAAGAAAATATCATCTCGTTCCTTGTCCCTGGAAGGCTCATTCACATCAAAGACACTGCTAACAAAATTGATTGGGGATGGGGAGTAGTCATCAACTTCACTAGAAGGAAGATCAATGTCAAGTCTATCCTCAAAGCTGATGGAACTGGACTCATGAAAAAGCAAGGAGTTGTAGACATTGATGAGGACAAGCCAGTGCTTATCATTGATGTCATGCTTTACATTCAGAAGAAACTTGAAGGTAATGAAATTAGACCAGGAGACAGGAAGAAAGACAATGGAATGCTAGGTATCGTCCCTGTAATGGTCCCTTGAGTTTATAACCTCAGCAAAGTTCAAATGAAGGTCATTCATGATTTGAACGATAAGAGTAATATTAAGAGAATGGAGAAGTTTTACTTTGAACTAATGAAGAGATTCGATTGGTATCCACCTCCCCTCAACCCAATCAAAGACATGCTCATTGAAGATCCAAAGTTTATTGAATGCCTAGAAAAGATTGAAGCTCTAGAGAAGAAAGTGAAGAAGCTAGGCGCAATCACTGATGAAGATCTTCAGAAGTATCTCAAAAGAGAAGAGTTGAAGAAAGAGTATGATCAATTAAGCAGACAAACTCTCCAGGTTGGAGCAATGGTCAATCACCAGGATCTCATTAGGATGAAGAGAGTGCTAAGAAGACTTGACTATATCAATGAAGATGATGTCCTTAAGATTAAAGGAAAAATAGCTTGTGAAGTAAGCGCAGGGGATGAGATTATTGTAACTGAGCTCATGGTAAACGGAAATTTCCAAAAATTGGACCCAGAATCTATCGCAGCAATTTGCAGTTGTTTGGTATTCTCAGAGACTAAGAATGAGCCAGTTGAGCCCAAACACCCTGTTCTTGCTGATGCATACAACAAATTATCAGGAATTATCAAGAAGGTTGCATCTGTTTTAGTTGAATGTAAGATGGATATCAATGAAGAAGAGTACATTAACAGCTTCAAACCAGATCTAGTCGAGGTTACCTACAAATGGTGTAAAGGAAAGAAGTTTGAAGAGATTTGTAAGCTGACTGAAATCTACGAAGGAACTATCATAAGATGCCTAAGAAGGCTTGAAGAGCTTTTAAAACAACTTGCTCTTATAGCAAAAACCCAGTTACAAAATCCTGAGCTTTATGAGAAACTTGAGACAGCTAGCCAGAAACTTAAAAGAGGAATTGTGTTTGCTGCCTCTCTTTACCTCTAATCTAAACATTACAACATTTTCAATAATTTTTCTTTGAAACGGGGTTTTGGGGTTTTGGGGTTTTGGGGTTTTGGGG